GTTTCATCTGACCATATGACATTCTCTCAATCCTCTTCTGGATCATCTAAATGCTCTCTAGCAAACTTCAGACGGGCCTGGACATGTACTGGCTTAAGCAGGGGGACACATCTGGCACTGCAGGATTTGAGTCCCTGGCGGCGTAGTGTGTTACTGATGGTAGCCTTTGTTACTTTGGTCCCAGCTCTCTGCAGGTCATTGACTAGGTCCCCTGTGTGGTTCTGGGATTTTTGCTCACCGTTCTTGTGATCATTTTGACACCCACGGGGTGAGATCTTGCGTGGAGCCCCAGATCGAGGGAGATTATCAGTGGTCTTGTATGTCTTCCATTTTCTAATAATTGCTCCCACAGTTGATTTCTTCACACCAAGCTGCTTACCTATTGCAGATTCAGTCTTCCCAGCCTGGTGCAGGTCTACAATTTTGTTTCTGGTGTCTTTGGTCTTGGCCATATGGAGTTTGGAGTGTGACTGTTTGAGGTTGTGGACAGGTGTCTTTTATACTGATAACGAGTTCAAACAGGTGCCATTAATACAGTTAACAAGTGGAGGACAGAGGAGGCTCTTAAAGAAGAAGTTACAGGTCTGTGAGAGCCAGAAATCTTGTTTGTTTGTAGGTGACCAAATACTTATTTTCCACCATAATTTGCAAATAAATTCTTTAAAAATCAGACAATGTGATTTTCTGGATTTTTTTTTCTTCTCATTTTGTCTCTCATAGTTAAGGTATACCCAGGATGAAAATTGCAGTTCTCTCTCATCTTTTTAAGTGGGAGAACTTGCACAATTGGTGGCTGACTAAATACTTTTTTGCCCCACTGTGTATATATATATATATATATTTGGCAGATTCCTTCTGTGACTTGCTGTTTAAAGGGTCAGATTCACGTCTCACAGAGAGCCTAGTAGCTTACTGCTTATTTATACCTGCTTTATCATCAGACTGACACTGTGATATGAGTGCTGAATGCTTTTAGGAAGACCAGAAGTTTTCCCCTTCTTTCATCATGCTAAGCAAAGGATGTGGGTGTCATGTGACCCTGCTGCTCTCTCCATCAGACCTTCTCTTCCCTGCTGCTGCACACCTTCTCCAGTGACTGCAAGAGGATGTCAGGGGAGATCTTTGAGCAGACCATGCCCTCTGCTGGACACTGGAGACCCAGCCTCAGGACAGGTGCTCACCTCTGACTGCTGGTGGTCTTCAGTCTATGTTTACACTCATCTCTGCAGACGATAACATTTTAGCTGCTGTAAACTCGGCTTGTAACTAAAGAATGCACACACTCTTGATTGCTTTGGCATACATCCATCTCCGTGGTTTTGTTTGAACATTCTAACATAAGAGAATGGTAAGCCACACTCTGATAGATGCAATCTACATCATCAATTAATCAAAGGACCTGGGCCGTTGAAGGTAACTAGTGCAGTGCGTGCTCAGGTTCAACTTGTGAGAGTCTGTACGTGTGCTGTAGCATTACAGAGTGCGCATCATGAGTGCAAAAGCTCCCATGAAAATGTTCTGGGCTCAATAAAGTCAAAGCCCCATTATATGTGTTTGCTCCAGCTGTAGTCAACTTTTTGGAACAGTCAGTCAGCTTGGCCAACATTATAGAGATGTCTTTCATTATAATGCGGTACTGTTTTGCCCCTGTACCGCAATGCTAAGGACAAAGGTAAACCTTGTTTAACACTCACACACAATCACTTGATATAGTGCCCTTCATGAGACCCAAGGACGCTTTACAATAGAACGAGGGGCCGTCGGGGGAACAAAAAGGAAAAACATTCACACTGCTGATCCAATTCCACACGCATGCCGAATTATTAGGAAGATGATTAAGTCTTGTCATACTCAGCACTCATGCGGTTCAGTATATCATATATAATACAGGTATAAAGCTTAAGGGCATCTGCATGTTGCTTCAGTTAGAATAAAGATGCCTGTCAGAGGGCCATCCCATTGCATCATTTCACATAACAATAACATACTTTATTTGTACAGTACTTCTTCAAAGGAATCACCCTGCTGTATAACGTGGACCTCTAAAAGAATGTTGGATTGTGTATTTCTCTGTCGCTGTGCAGGTTTTCCCAGCAGCCCCAGTGAGTATGTGACTCTGGCAGCTCAGACTGTGATTGGCCAGGTTTTAGAGGGCGTGGCTCCACTGTCCGAGGATGCCCGTGTCCAGGCTCTGAGCATCACAACCACAGCTTTCATGGAGGCCTGGATGGAGCACATCCTGAAACAGAGGATCAAATTCAGGTCTGCTTCTCACATCGCACATTGATGCCCACCACCATGTTATCCACCAAACAACAGCTTTGAGATCTGACTCCCAGACAGACCGTCTGTTTTATCTCACACCCCTCTCTCTTTGATCACTTTTATGCTTTGGAATAGAAATGACCACTTTCCACATCCATCAACACTATTACAGTAAAACAATTACAGTATATCATTTCATACTTATTACATTATACACATATGTAGCTGTTCATTGTGAATGATGACTATTATTATGTAAAGCACTTTGAGGGGTCGTAAAAATTAAGCGCGATTTATCACCAAGTGTTCAGTCTGCTGCCGTCTGGCAGGCGGTACCGCAGCATCCGGACTAAAACCACCAGACTCAGGGACAGTTTCATCCCACAGGCCATACGACTGTTAAACACCTGACCTCAGTAAAGTGCCTCCATAACCCAAAGCATTCATCTGGTTGCGTCTTAGAATTAATTTCATTTATTATCTTAATAGTTATCACTGGATCAAGCAGTATTTCATTGTATTTCACTACAATATTCAACCTTACATTCTGTCCTTTGATATTGTATTCTACTTACATGTACCTGGTCACTTTGAACATTCTCTGCATCATTTAGCTTATTGGATTGATTGATTTTCTGACATGTGTATATACTGTAGTTCATTTCATCCACATTCATTGTAGACTGAACTAGCAACATAACCTGCACTATTTTATTCAAATGTGTCGTACACTGTTTCATTTGCACTATTTTTATTTTATTATTACTTATTTTTTCTGATGTCATATATAAGATGTTGCATTGTTTAGTAGTTTTTCATTGCCATAACTACTGTAGCTACTGTGCATTTGACAATAACACCCTTGAATCTTGAATATAAATACAGTCCATTTACCATGTATGTATTCATATATGTATGTCTATATATATATGTGTATATATATATATATTAATATATACTATTAAGCCCCGCCCCTTCCCTCTCCTCCTCCTCAGTGTGCAGGGGGCTCTCCAGCTGAAGCAGGACTTTGATTCCATCAGAGAGTTGATCCAGTCTGACAGATACGGTCTGTCAGCAGAACTCCACCAGCGCCTGCTCAGCCTCCGGTACCTCCATCTGTCTTATAACTTCTAACCTGCCCTTTATCTAGCTATTCCCGACACCTCGGTGAGCTGGTATTATTTCAGATGATGTCTTTACTCCACTAGGACTAGCATTAAAGTACACTCATCTCAAAGAGAGAGAAGATGCTGGGACCATTCCTATAGTGATGTGCCAGACTGTAAGGGTACATGTGACATTTAAACAAACACACAAGTCAACTTGCAACAAGATTCAGATCAGAAGAAAGTTGCCTTAAGTGGTTATTGGCTCCTTAATATGGATGCTCTTCCTGGTCACTGGACAGGTCAGAAATTTCATATAAAGCAAAAAAAGATAGAAAATGAATTGGTGTCAGTAAATGAGTTGAGTTGGACTGTTGCCCTGCTCAGTTGGACTGTTGCCTTGCTGTCTGAAAGAGCTGAAACAATCACCCAATATACATTTCTTGACATTGTATTCTGAGAGCCATGTTGTTATTGTTGAAACACCAGGATGAGGAGCCCTCCCCTTTGTGCAGATCATATTCCAGAGCGGTCTGGGATAGCAGGTTGAGTGACCCCCCCCCCTCTGTGTGCAGGGTGTTCCAGCAGGTGGACTCAGCCGTGATGTGCCTGCTCCAGCAGCCGCAGGCCAAACCGTACCTGAGGCCCCGAGCCTGGGAGCCGTTCACTCGATGCTGTGAGTATCACAGGAAGTCATGGTTACCACTCTGGACCCAGACTCACATGTCCAGCTTTAGTAGGTTGGATTGAAGAAGCCAGAAATAGTACATCAAGACCCCCCTCCAGAGCCTTTCCCCTAAACTTCTCATTGAGAACGTAAACAACAGACTTTGCAGTAGTTGGCACTCAGCCGTGAGGCCCCGGGACCCAGTCCTGTCGAGGGCCAGACTGGCCTGGGGGCCCTTTTACGCATGTCTTCCCCTCTATCTCCCCCTTTCACATTTTGGTGGAAACTTTAATTTCCTTAAGAAAAACTGATAAATGATTCATAAACAAGTTTGTCTTTTGTTATATTAAACAAAGTAATAAAGAAAGCCCAAACACAATTGAAATCCATCTCAAATGCAGGAACAGAACCTCTTCATCCTCAGATGATGAAGAGGTTCTGACTGCATGACTGCAGTTCAGTGCTTTTTAAAGATGGATCATAACATTATTCAGGTACATTGATCTGACACATCTGGAGTACTGAACTTCATTTCCCAGAGATACTAGTTGGAGACAGACAGCTGATGGTTCTGTGAGTGGTGCCACACTAGATGGAGTGTGTGTCAGCAGGCTGTATGTGTGTCCAGGCCCGGCCAGCAGCAGAGACAGCATGGACGCAGCAGGCGGGAGCAGTATCACCAACCTGAGGAGCATGGAGGGGGAGGAGCTGACTCCGTGTGGTCCTTCAGTGGTGACCTCTGACCTCCCTCCTCTGAACCCCCCCTCCCCTGGAGAGCCCTACCTCGCCCCCAGGTAAAGTGTTTTAAAAGACCCCTATTATACTCTTTTTCAACGACATATCACAGGTCTCAGATATATACAGAACCTGTCTCTGATTGGCTGAAACACCAAACAGATCATTGCAGCATCCCATAATCCCCCAGCTGCTGCTTGAAAGAAGTCTGATCCACAAGAGTCTGACTTAACCCTACATCTCACTGCATTGTTACTTCTTAAGTTATCAAGTCTCATCTCAAGTGTAAAGACATATTCTGAGTGGAAATGAGAGCAATATACTTGGCAAGACTTCAGCTTATAGCAATGGCCCCGTTCTAGACACTTTCTCTTCTGTTCCAACTTTGTGCTCCCTGCCATTCTCCCCATGAACTGTTATTGCTCTGGTTAATCCCCCCAAGCCTTCCCCATATCTTGGTGTTTGATGCTGAGAAGTGGTCAGGGACAAAGTTGAAGCTTTGTTCAAGGTCAAGCCCCGCTGCAGTGGAAACAGGACCCATCTGATTTGTCTTAGGGCTCTGGCCCTGGAGCCACTTCTGTGGAAAGCCTGTGTGATTCGGTTTGGAGCGGGAATCATTCCTAATGTGTGTGTTAACGTAGCCTCAAAAGAAAGTGAGGTGTTAACTTATTGGTGTGTTGATTCAGACGTGTGTGTGATGTGGTGATGAACTCTCTTCCTGTTGCTCTCAGTGCCGCTCTGGGTGCTGCTCAGAGGGAGTGGCTGGAGCTGAGGATCCACAGCAGCACCCCCCGCTGGAGGCTGCCGGGACTGCACTGCCTCTGGAAGTCTGAACCCTGACCACACACACACACACACACACGCACACACACACGCACACGCACACACACACACACACACACACACACACGCTCTTTGGAATCAAAGTCGTAGTTTGATGTATTCAGTACAAACATTTTATTTTGGTTGTGAATATGTTTTGCAAATAAGAATGTGAAAACCCCCATGTATTATTTGTAATAATGTAAGGAAGATTTCATAATTTCTTTTAAAATATGTAAGATATTTGCTTTACCACTTTTCAGCAAACATATTTTTTTATTTGTGAATAAAACATTTTTTTTTCAATACTTTTGACGAAATCTTTGTATACAGAAGTTTTTCAGCTGCTTTTATAAAAGGGGGGGGAGGTTACCGTCAGCCGTCACCTGAAAAAAAAAGAAAAATCTATATTAAATATTTTGGGTATACACTCAACACTTGTACCCTATAGTATAAATGAGAATTTTTGATATATATATATATATATATGACATAGACTGGACTGCAGCACTCTGTGGGGGGGGGGGGCTAAAGACAACCAAATGGGAGCTGTCCCTTTGTGAGGAGGGGGGCTGAGACTCTTCCTTTGCTTGGGCAGGGACAGGGGACAGGTAAGACTAAGGCCATCCCTGTTCTTCATGCTGTCCCCATCTTTGAAAATGGGTTCTTCATGTTGGGTAGGAGATGAAACCCTCTGTAATGCTCTCACATGCAGAGCACACAGCACACAGTGACATGTGTTCTCTGCATTTAACCCACCCTACCAGGAGTCTAGTTCGAGGAGCAGTGGGCAGCTATTGTACAGCGCCCAGGAGATATGAGGATTCTTGGACATTCTTTGACTCCTTGTTTGTTTCTGATGACAGGACTGATATCAAATCCACATGCTGCTGATTGTTTCTTTGGCATTTAAAGTGTTTCACATATACAGCTAAGATAAAGAAGAACCAGATGTGAATCAGGGTGTCCGCGGGGTCTTAAAAAGTATTAAAAGTTGATAAATCAATTTAGCGAAAATTAAGGCTATTAAAAATTATTAAACGGATGTTCCAAGGTATTAAGAAGGTCCACAGCAACGACAACATGAAACACCCTTTAATTTACTGAAACGACATGTCGGGAAACCCCCTCAAGGCGGCCCCATGCATAGCGCGCCGTAAAATGCTGCTTCTTATTTTAAGTTTCGTTGCCTTGCTCCGCTCTGTGGGGGGGGGGGTCCCAAGGTGGGTAGACCGGCATACGCAAC